AGGCGGCAAGCTGCTATTGCCGCGCCCGATCCCCAGTGTGGTCTAGGAGGCTTTAGCAGGTTACCAGAAATGGGTGACGACACGAATGCTCGGTCTAGAGGTACGGAAGTCGCACCCACTCAGATTCAGTTTAAATGCACGCCCACTGTGCACCAACAACACACATGAGGCAGGATACCTGGCGACAGGATGATCAATAAGTGTGTGCGTCAGTAGAAAAACTTGACTTCGGAGTGAGAATTGGTTGGTATTACCCATCAAGGCAGGAGACATGAGCCAGGAAAGGCATCATAGCCGATTCTTCGTCATCTAGCAGCACAGGACAGATCATCTCCACGGTGGTTTCCAGTCAGTCAGCCTCCGCACGAATAGTCCACCTTCACGCCTATGAGCTTGCAGAGCCTGAGTTTATTTGCCAGGACTGATAGTGTCATTTTTAGACTCCACCAAGCGCATTTCCTTGCCGTGAAATCTGGTCTTACCCTTCTGTGACTAAACTGAATTAACTGCGTTTTTATTTCGAGTGCTTGAAACTACTGCGTGTCATTGTATCCATCTGCATGTTCCACTCGTTACTGGACTTGAATATCAACGCCTCTTAGTGATTGCATCGTCCTCTGTTTGAGGTTCTGTGTCTACTCGTGATTGACTTAAGGAGCGTCGAAGCATGACGGTCAACCGTGGATGGATGCCCTAGAAAGCGTGATAACAAGGCAGCCATCACGTATGGGGGGGATAAGAACTTCTCTTTTTGCCTGAAGTTTTATACACTCGGCCAAATATAGGGGCAGTAGGAATGGTAACAAACATTGCGAATAAAATCAAGGTCACTTACGAAATCCGAGATTATTGTAGAGTTCGGGATTAAAACAAGGGTTGTTCACTGTGTTCACTACGCCTTTACAGGGACCAAATTGGTATCCAGCGATCCGATATGGACAAATTGTCCTCTGTCAGACGGATAAGGCGAACAGAAAAGAGACCCTAATTATCACTAATGTACTCCTCAGCTCCGCAACCCGGTTGAAATAGTCTCTCTCTCTTCACATTTTACGTAAAGGATGTAGAAATGATTGAATCAAATAGCAGTATCTACAAAATAGGCCGGGTTATTTACGCATCTCGATGATCCAAGGATATCCGACTCCACTAAAGTAACGTTAACACATTGTAAACAGCTAGGTATAAAAAATTTCCGTTTTAATACATTAAAACAGCGAAGCCAATAAACTGTCGACTTGAACGGAGAGACAACTGTCCCAGTAACTAGGCTGGTAGGTAGGACAAGGGAATGTGGGTCCCGTATCACAGGCGGCTTTGTGCTGCATTCACTGGGCATTAGAATTACGAGAGTTGAAGTTATGACACGGAAATAGGTAACCCTCCTGGAATGTAGCCCAAATCTGCCTGTGGTCCGGAGAATTCATACTCCCGTGTCCGACTACCCAGTAAATTCAGCAATATTTGCATAGATAACCCATGGTAAGCTTGGGTAATTAAACCTAGTGGGGGCTAAAAACTCGCTCGACGTTCTTTGCAGCGACAACTAGTTTTCTACAAAGTTTTGGATTATTTTCAGAAGAGCGCTCGGTTTGACCGTAACTGCCCAGCAACTCCGCGAAGACCCAGTCGAACGTCAAGAAAGTTCCAGCGGCACGCCGAATCAACAGTTCTGATACCACTAAATACCACATTCACGGTGAACAGGGTTTTTCCGTGCCCTCTGAGGAAGAAAGTGATAAGCTTGGCGTTGGTTGCACAAAAGAAGCCTCTTTTGCAAATACTACTCGGACGCATTAACGATACTTCACAATAGGCATATGGAATGGTAGGATCTTGCGTTTCACGCAGAGCGTATGTTAACTGCAGTCTGCAAACAGCAACAGACCTTGATACGTCTTCTTCCGATTCGTGGGAAAATTGAGGAAGTGGGAAGATGCCGGAATAGAGTTGGGGTGAGGGAGATGAGGTAGAAGAATTTGGGTCAGAACTAGACGAAGACCAAAGGTGACGTAAAACCTGCGGGGGCACAGTATCATCTATCATAAAAGTGCGACCTGGATGAGCTAGCATTACGCAGCCTTGCATGTCTAGGTAGGACACGGGAATAGCTACTTCCTGTACTAGAGGTGGCCTTGTGCTAAATTCCAAGAAATTTGAAGTCAGGGTTAGAACACGAAAATAGGTGCTACCCTGGAATTCAGCGTAAAGTGACCTGTAGTAGGGGAAGGGTACGTATTTCCACGCCCAACCCATGTCTATACTGATTTAGCAGTTTAATACACCGATTCAAGGTCAGCATATCGATGAACTAAGGCATACGCTGATGTTGTTACATGACTCTTACTCAGCGGATCTCAGTCAGCTGATCCGGACACATGCATTTGTCTGGCGTTTTTAAGGCGCAGGAAATAAGGTCTGGTGTCGTTTTTTGCAGTAACTGCAACTCTCTCTCTCTTCGTACTCACTTGTGACGCCGGCTTAGCGCTTAAGTAAATTAAGCCACTCCTGTGTTATGTATGATTCTTTAAGGGTTTAAAATTAGACGAGTACTTGGAGACCTCATTTTAAAACTTTCTGCGGCAGTCTCGATGAGACGTTTTGTCTGCCATTGTGGACGACAAAATAGCCTACGTATCTTCAATACTCACCGAGTTGCCATGATTTATTGGCTCTTAAAAACCGTCCTCTTCGCAAGGTGGCCTACCGACAGGCGCGGAAATTGATCATTTCAGTCTTTCCAGTTACTGCCAGACAGCCAAGACCGGCAAAAGTCAAGTGGGTTGGGAGTCAATGGAGGGCTTTTAGCATTTACTTCATATCCTTCGGTTACGCGACGGGGTGCGTGGAAGTCGATGAACTGTAAGCAATGCCGCCTCAAATCCCTAATCACGATGATGGGTACTCCGTGTACTCAACCCAAGAACATCACTCAAAGACTCTCTTACCTCCCTCCCCTAGCTCTGACGACTAACACCCGCCGACCTTCTCATGCGGGCGGCGTGAGGATGATGGGCGTTAGTGACTTAATAGCCCTTGAGGCATCTATAAACACTGTTGATTTTGTACATTTTCATTCCTTCATGTAATTGTATTGGCCTGAGGAAGAATTACCGAAAACGCGTGTTCGCCAACCTGACTTTTCAAACATCTTACCCTTGGCGATTTACGCCGTAGAGCACTGCACTTTGAGAGTATTGTTCCACTGCCAGCGTTTTTAGACCTGCACGCCGTTTTTTTCTGATGAACATGGTTAATTTATCAAGGTTTCATCCCGGTTACAAAAGAAACGGCTATATCGCAGTTGGTAGCCAGGAATGGGAAAGCGGGCGGCGACCTTAACCCTAATCCTAACATTAACTCTAACCGTAACCTCAACCTTAAGCGTTAACGATTAACCCTAACTGAAATCGTAAACGTAATCGTAGCCTTTAGTCATAGCCGTAACTGGAAAACCTAACCGTAATACCGAAAGCCTAATCGTTCGCTCAAACCCTAATCGTAACCCGAAAACCTAAGCCTAAACGCATAACCCTAACCCGAAAATCGGAAACCATTAACTGGTACCCTAATCCTAACCTCAAACGTAAAACGGAAGTCAAATGGGTCAGATTTGATTATGGAACCCCACAAAATAGCCCCAGTAAACAAACGCCCAGCCACCTGTAATACGGGACCTGGCTACCAACTGCGATCTAGCCAAAG